CAGCACTGTCCAGTTGGACAAGGACTTGTCCTAGGAGGAGGAGCCGGTAGCTATTCTAGACTGGCAGGTTCCTCAGTTGAGATCGAAGAGTTTTCCTTCTATTCGTGTTTAGTGGAGAGGTCAGCCAATTGAGGCAGCGACCTGGGAGTCCGAGTCCGATACGGGGAGCCGATATCCCCATTTTTTCTCTGACTCAGGTACTTCCTTCTTATGTCTGTTCGAGGACGAACGATTGTTTTAGAGCTAAATTCTATGATCTGAGGCCTTAAAACCTCCTTTTTCCTAACCTAGATTTGCGTGCACAGTCCAAGCGTATACTCGGAATGCTTTTATGTGGAAATTTGATAAAAAAAAGTTAATTTTGCCATTAAAATTTAATTTAAGTTGACTTTGGTCAATATTTTGGGTAAACGGACCCGAACCCATGATTTGACGGTTCTGAAGGGTCCATAGGAAAATATGGGACTTGGGCGTATGCTCGGAATCGAATTCCGAGGTCCCAAGCCCAAGAAATGAATTCTTAAAGAAAATTATATAAGTGAAAATTTTAGAGTATTTGGAAATTTGAACGTAGTTAAATTTGATGGTATCAGGCCCGTATTATAGTTCCGGAGCCCGGTATAGGTCTTATATATGATTTACATTGAACATGTAAAATTTGGTAAGAAACAGACTTGAAATGACATGAATCGGACCCTCAATTGTGAAACTTGAAACTTAAGTGTTCTTGAGATTTTCCTTTGATTTTGATGCTAAATTCATTGTTAAAGCTGTTAATTTGGCGATTTGAACGCATGAGTAAGTCGATATGATATTTTGAGTTAGTATGCATGTTTTTTTTGGATCCTCGAGGGCTCGGGTGAGTTTCGGTAGGTTTTTAAACTTAGAAAAGTTGCAGGTTTTAGTTTCTGGTATTCTGGAGTGTTGTTCTTCGAGTTCGCGGAAGGACTCTTGCGAACGCAAAGGGTAAGTCAGGCTGAAGGATAATTCCTTCTATGCGAACACGAGAAATAGGACGCGAACGCGAAGCCTTAGGGGTGCTACCCTTCGCGAACGCGGACCTGCTATCGCGAACGCGAAGGCCTTTTGGCCGGGACAGGGGGAAAGGGATTTTGTTCTACGCGAACGCGGCCAATGGCCTGCAAACGCGATGGTTTGAGGAGCTAAAGCTCTGCGAACGCGAGCCACAAAGCGCGAACGTGAGGCAACTGGGCCTGACCCTTCGCGAACGCAAAGAAGGCATGTCCAGTGAATTAAAAACAGTAGCAAAATCGGGAATGAGTCCATAACTTCATATTTTCAAAACTAGAGAGCATTGAGGCGATTTTCATAGAACAAGTTCTTCCTTAAAGAATTGGTATATGATTCTAAACTTTTTTCTTTCGATTTCCCATTGCATTTCATCAATGGTAGAAATTAGGAATTTAGGAATTTCGATTTCATCAATTTTCATCCAAAAATCTAGGGTTTTTATGGTAGAAATTAGGAATTTGGGTAGAGTTAGGGCTTTTTGATTAATTGAAATTTAGACCTTGTTTTGGGGTTGGATTTCAAAACTAATTGCATATTTGGGCTCGTGGGTGAATGGGCGATCGGGTTTTAGTCCGAACCTCGAGTTTCGACCAAGCGGGTCGGGGCCAATTTTTGACTTTTTGGGGAAAATGATAGAAAACCTATAATTAAGCATTGGGTATGAATTCTTTAGAATTTATTGATGTTGTTAAATTAATTTGGGCTAGATACAAGTAATTTGGAGGTGAATTCTAAAGGAAAATCGGTGTTTGAGGCTTGAGTTGGCCGTGGGAGTTTGAGGTGAGTGTTTGGTCTAACCTTAGCTTGAGGGATTAGGAGTTGTGTCTTATTTGCTATATGTTAATTACGTAGTACGACGTATAGGCATGGTGACGAGTATCTATACGTTGGTATCAAGCATGCCCATGAGTCTAGAATTGTAATTGTTGTGACTCCGTTGTGATTTATTCATGCCTAATATGATGGTTATCATTGTTGGTTCCCTTGCCGGAATTTTATTGTTTCTGACATTGTCTCCCTTGTCGGGATGTTATTGTTTATAATATTGTCTCCCTTGCCGGGATATTGTTGTTATACTCTTGTTCCCTTGTTGGGATTCTTTTATGACTAATGTTGAATTAAAATGGGAGCGGGTTGTATGCCTGCAACGAGATATATAAAATGGGAGCAGGTTGCACGCCTGCAACAAGATATAAGAAATGGGAGCGGGTTGCACGCCTGCAACGAGATATATAAATAGGAGCAGGTTGCACGTCTGCGACAAGATATATGAAATGAGAGCGGGTTGCACGCCTGCAATGAGATATATGAAATGGGAGCGGGTTGCATGCCTGCAACGACATATATGAAATGGGATCGGGTTGCACGCCTGCAATGAGAAAATGGGATCGGGTTGCACGCCTGCAACGAGATATATGAAATGGGATCGGGTTGCACACCTACAATGAGTTATATGAAATGGGATCGGGTTGCACACCTGCAGCGAGATATATGAGATGGGATCGGGTTGCACACCTGCAGCGAGATATATGAGATGGGATCGGGTTGCACGCCTGCAATAAGATATGAAATGAAAGTGAATTCTGTGTTTGTTTTCCTTTTCCTTGTTAGTATTTGGATTTTGGTTTCTTACACTTCTCTTTGGTATTCTGTTGTTTTATGTTACTCCCCGCAACATGTTTCCCCCCGCCTATCTTTACTGTGAGTATTTGCCTTTATTTTCTGTTGTATATGATTTAACTGCACAGGTTTATTTGGTAGTCTGGTCCTAGCTTTTTCACTACTTCGCTGAGGTTAGGCTAGGAACTTACCAACACATGGGGTCGGTTGTGCTGATACTACACTCTGCACTATATGCAGATACCGTTACCGGAGCGTTTGGACCGTAGTGAGGTTGCTGCCTTCAGTCCAACAGGCGACCCGAGGTAGTCCTGCAGGCGTCTGTGGGCCTTGACATTTGCTTCTATCATTTCTTTTCTGTTTTTACTTATTCAGAGACAGATTCATGTATTTCTATTCAGACTTTATTTGTAGTAATCTTAGACAGTTTATGAAATTGTGACACCAAATTCTGGGTAGAGTTGTATTTAGACTTCTGTAGTTTGTATTAAGTTAAATTATCATATTTCAGTCTTCCGCTTCGTTATTGATATTATTATTTCTACCATTTATATGATGTTTGTTCACCAATGTTAAGGGACTAAAACTGAAAAAGGTTAAGTAATCAGAATAATTTGGCTTGCCTAGCTTTCACTAGTAGGCGCTATCACGACTCCTAAGGGTGGAAAATCCAGGTTGTGACAACAGATAACAATATACATACAACACAAAAACAATTAAAGGATAAACATGTACTATTGGGAGGGACATGCGAAATGGGTACAAAATACGATAATTAGAACATGAAATGATAACTAGAACAATCAATAAGCCTTTAACTAGTAACACCAATAACCATAATCAAGAAAATTGCACGACATCACCCTTCATGCTTTTACTCTCAACTTCACTATCAATCAATAATGATAATACGACATCACCCTTCGTGCTTTTACTCTCACTTTCATCATAAACCAATAGATACGACACAGTATCACCCTTCATGTATTAACTCTCAAATATGGCACGACATCACCCTTCATCCATTAACTCTCAAACATGCCACGACATCGCCCTTCGTGCATTAATACTCACTCTAACCATATAATAATAAACATATAATAACAGGGAGATATAATTAACAAGAATAAGCCTTATGTAAACAATGGTTCCACAATACTAACCTCAACTTCAGAAACAATATTCAATTATCACAGATAGCCTATAATTGCGGAAAGATCGATGAATTTAATAACTAACCAGTCTAAGCATGGATATCATGATAAAAAAGCGATAAATTACAAGAACCAAATCCCACCCATATGTTTTAGCCCAACAACAACGCATAAATACTCGTTGTCACATCTCCTTTTTACACTTGGGGGGTATATAAGGGAGTTTTTCCAATTAAAGTGACATTATTCGAAATGGAATTATTTTAATTTCAGAGTTACCACTTGGAATAGTTTATTATGGTGTCCCAAGTCACCGATTTATTTTAAATCCCAAATTGAGGAAATTTTTTTTCGACTTTATTTAAAAGTGTGCGAACCAGAAATTCTAGATAATGAGTTCTGTTAACCCATGAGAAGGTGTTAGGCATTCCCGGGTTTTGTGGTTTTAGCACGGCCGCTTAGCAATTTATAACTGACTTAAATAAATTGTTTAATTATTCATTTTAAGACCTATGTTCATTTATCCCTTTAACCGCTTTTAGTTGCTTGATTATTCGTAATTTTGGAAATTATCTTAAAAGGAGTTACGCGTACATGAACTCATTTCGTTTGGCACGTTAAGAATCATGTCACGCGTACATGTCCACAATTAATCATGCTTTATTAATATTAAGAAAGTTTGGTAGAAGTTGCACGAACACATACCTCGATTTATTTTTAGAAAAATCATAATTATGTTACGTGAATGTATACATAATCACGATAATATATAGACTAAGTCGCGCCTAAAGCAAGTTACGAATGTTCAAGATTGTTTTCTATACTAGTTAGTATTAATGTGAGGGCCATGGGTTATGAATTTTATTTGTGTATGACACGCCTCAATTTATTTTAAAAGATTGTACTCAACTAAAGCGAACCACGGATGTTCATAATTATTCATCTCCTACGTTTGAGATAATTGTAAAAATGAGAGCTATGGAAAAGTTGTGAGAAAATGTAGTATTTGGTTAACGTTTTTATTAATAAACAAAAACAAAATGGATTAACTTATATCTAACCCAGTTTACTTCTAACGCCCACCATCTAGTATCAAGAAAAAACAATGCAGCACGCAATTATGTGAATGCGTCCTATCTTATCAGGTAAACTCACATCTAATAGAAATTGAACATTTAAAAAAGAAATATCAAATAGAGTAAATCACCTTTCCTTAAAAATCAGCAAAAGGTCATGCCCTAGCTTTTCAGCTTGATAAAATACAAATAACAGTTCAACTTTTTTCTCTACATCTAAGAATATGTACTTGCAGAAGAAATAAAATCTTCAAACAGAATCAAGTTATCACTTATCAGAACAAGAAGAAATGGACATCACAAATTATACGCCCTTGAGCAACTCTCAAGGCTACATGATTATTAGCATTCCAAACAATGACTCAAGTCTAAGAAACAATGGCTTCATATTCCCAGGGTTGAATACCCATTTCCACGTCCGACAGAAAGAATTGAACTGAGAGAATACCTCATCGGTAACAACAGAGTCCCGAATGAGAAAAAGAGAATTATTAGAGCCACAAAAGATTCTTCATCAGGAGCGACCAATAAGTTCAGTTCCTTAAAATACAACAACTACTGCACCATGTAGATAGGTCTACTATCAATAGCCACTAAGCTAATAATGTGTGGTTTTGTAATTTCAACTTTCAACCTTAAGTGAAAATCAGAACTTCAAGCTAACACAAAGGATGTTATAAACAGTATTCGAAACCATGATTAACAAACTGATTCAAAGAATGATTTGAATTTAAACACTTAGTTCAACAAACAAACTAACACAAAAATAGCATATGAGAGGGTATAGGAAAATCTCATGTTGTATCTATGAAATTAGTCATAAACATGGCATACAAATCGATGCTAATAGTCATTCTCTTAACAGAGTAGAACATGTAACTTCACAAAATTAATTTTCATAGAACATGAATTATCCAAATCAAGTTACATGGTCAAAATCGAGAAGAGTACCTTGATGTAGCGGAATATAGAGAAACAATGATAAATATGAATCTAGAGTTCAGCAACATAGTGAATCAGCAACACTCGATAGTGATTTAAGAGTTTAATCACTCTCCGAAACCCAGAGATTAGCTCACAAATTTACAGAAAATCAAATGGGTCATAAAACGCCCAGAAATTGAAGATCAATCACTCCACTTCCAAGCGAAATTCGGACACAGTTTGCTTTTCTTTCTTCAATGAAGATTTCTCCGGGTCTTGACTACTCTAGTTGTCTTCTTTTAATCCTCAGAGGATGATTTCTCTTCCATGATTTTAGTGTGTGTGAGGTGCAAATGAGAATTGCGAGGCGGGCTAGTAGGATTGGTGTTGAAGGAAAGAGTCTGTTCTTGTGTGTTTTAGGTTAGAAAATGAGGAAGAAGAAGTAGGGTTGCCCATTTTTTATCTTCAAAAGACAAAGGTTTCTGATGTTGTTCTATGATGTTTTTTCCCCAGAGATGCGCTGCTCGCTCCTAATCTAAAGCGGAAGGTCCCCTATTTTCTTAGGTCTTCGATCTCTTTTTCTATATCTAGGTTTTAATTAAAGGATAAGGGGTTTGGGTAGGTTAGAGAGATGGGCTGGGTATTTTTTTGAGAGAATTGGGCCATCAGAAATGATTTTAGCCCAAATTTAAAACAAAACCAAATCAAAACCCTTTCTTTTTTTCCTTGATTTTTGCAATGTTAGCCATTTTAAACTCTAATTTAGTTTAATCTAATTTGTATGGTAAAATTATTTATCTATTTTGACTAATTAATTAACTAACCTAAGAATGCATGTTTTTGATTTTTAGTTATTTAAATAATGCGTTTAGCAATGTAATTGATTCCTAAATGCAAATTAAACCTAAGATGACATGAAATTAAAATATGACAATTTTTATGGTTTTTCTCATGATTTTAAAATATTAAACATGCATGAAATGCAACTAAATAAAGAAAAACTCCTAGAAATCCATTAAAATGATTTTGGTCTATTTTTAGGAGTTATTTTCATGTAGGGCAAAAATTAGGTGCTCACAGCTGCCCCTCTTTGCTCGGAAACATGAAGAGTTTTCGGGCAAAGATAAAGTGAGCAATTACAAGCAATTTTTGCCCGTTTGAAACTCCATTTGGAAGCATTTTGAATTTTTTGACCGAACCTTGCTTCAGAGGTTGCCTACATAACCTTGACTATAAAGGAATTGGGTCAGTGTAGTTTTGGAAGTTTTGGTAGCTAGGACTACCGAGAAACTGTGACTTCACTGCTGTTTCTGCTGTTTCTGCTTACTGAACTCATTATTACACCAAAATGAAATATGAAAAGCTAAACTAGCTAAGCCTATCAACTATGAGTTACAAGATTCTTATCTATAAACCTTCTAAAACTTGATCTTGAGTCTTGGCTGGTTCTTCATGCAGACTCTGATTCGAATCTTGATGCTCGTTAGCTGCAACCGCTGGTTTATTCTTCTTCTGCTTTTCGGATCAAGGCGGGACATGCAAAACTTGTGACTTCAATTATATCTTGAGCAGCCCGCTTCTTTTCTCCGCTTCTACACTTAGAGTTTACTTCTTTTCTTGTTTTTTTTCTTTTATTCGAATCGAGACTTCTTTTTTGGTCGCCTCAAGGTAAAAACTTGCTCAGGCACCAAAACAATCAAACGAACGAAATTTTCAGCCCCAGTTTTCACTAGAAAAATTTCGTGAGTTATTGTAACAAAAATCTAAACTACTTCTTTATTGAAAGCAAATAAAATCGGGATTGTGCATCTTTGAGAAAAAGATATTAGGGAGTGGAGACCCTATATTTAAAATGAAATCAAATGGGAATCAGAGGCCCTAAGTTTGAAAGATTAACAGGTTATGTTGGCATCAACTAGGGAGTGGGAACCTATACTAGGAAAGATTACCAGGTTATGCTGGCATCGGCTAGAGAGTGGGACCCTACGTTGGAAAAATTACCAAGTTATGCTAGAAAATTCATCGGGTTATGCCGTAAAAGTCCTCGGGTTATGTCGAGAAAGTCATCGGGTTATGCCAGAAAGGTCCTCGGGTTATGCTGGGGAAGTCATCGGGTTATGCCGGAAAGGTCCTCGAGTTATGCCAGGGAAGTCATCAGGTTATGCTGGAAAAGTCCACGGGTTATGCCGGGAAGGTCATCGGGTTATTCCGGAAAGGTCCTCAAGTTATGCCGAAAAGGTCCTCGGGTTATGCCGGGGAAGGTCATCGGGTTATGCCGGAAAGGTCCTCGAGTTATGCTGGGGAAGTCATCGGGTTATGCCGGGAAGGTCCTAGGGTTATGCTGGGGAAGTCATCGGGTTATGCTGGGAAGGTCCTCGAGTTATGTCGGGGAAGTCATCGGGTTATGCCGGAAAGGTTGTCGGGTTATGCCGAGGATAACTAGGGAATGAGACCATATGTTGAAAATGATTACCAGGTTATGCTGGCATAGACTAGGGCTAGGACCCTATGTTGGAAAGATTACCAGATTATGGTGACATTAGTTAGGGAGTGGGATCCTATGTTGGAAAAGATTACCAGGTTATGCTGGCATCAGCTAGGGAATGAGACCCTAAGTTGGAAAAGATTACCATGTTATGCTTACATCAGCTAGGGAGTGGGACCCTATATTGGAAAAGATTACTAGGTTATGTTGGCATCAGCTAGGGAGTGGGACCCTATGCTACCGTAATTTTGAATTTTCTTCTTCTTTCTTTTCATTTCATTTTTTAAGAAAATGAGTAAAATTGCAGGAAACAATTCGGAGGAGACTTCCCTTTTGGATTGATTATTGCTGCAACACTGTTTCTAGCCCTTGCGCAGTTTCTCTTTGGTTGCACCTGCTTCTTGCAAGGTTGCTTCGGATTGCACATGTTTCATATTTTCAAACAAAGAACAATTGTTAGTTTGAAATAGTGGTTGGTTTTGTGGCCTTGATTATTTCAACACTTGATCTCGACCCGGCTTCTTTGATGAAGATCTCAACTGCAACTGCTTGTTCCCTGAGGACTGATTTCATTTTAGGCCCTGGAGACCCTCTGATTTTTTCAGACTTTGCCATGGCGGTTGGTTGGTGGAACTCACCCTTATCGATTTTATTTTGCCTTCATAGGCCTTTCACTTATGACTCTTTTGGCTCCTCAAACTTTGTCGCAATGGTTAGTTGTGTGGGACTTTAACCTTTTCAACTTTATTTTGCCTTCATAAGCCTTTCATTCTTGCTTCTTTCTTCCGATTTCAATTTCAGAGCATTTGGGGTACCTTGACTTTTCAAACCTTTGCCGAGATGGTTAGCCACGTGGGACCAGACCTTTTTAACTTCATTTGCCTTTATAGGCACTTCAATTTGATTTTCTCATTCCAAGAGTTTTCAATTTCAAAACATCAGCCACCATGGCCGGTCGAAGTCGACTTGATGCCCATGACGAAGCTGGGTGCCTTATTGCACATTAGCTCGTGTCAATCAGTCTGGCCATCCCTTCTTTGTCCCAGTTTCGGAATAGAGTTAGACCGAAAAGGATTCAAAGAAAAAATAAACAATGGAATGGATAAATGAATTTAGACAAGAGGTATCCCTTTCGAGGAAAGGAAAGAAGGACTTATCTGGAGTACATGCGGACTTCAATGAACATGACATGCCATTTGGACATGATGCCTGATCCATGCAAATCGTCCGACTCTTAGAAATTCATCACAACTTTGGCCTCAAAATGGAGAAACCTTGCCAAGACTCTATCGATGCCGATGGCTATGAGGATCCTCTTTTCGATGAGGGGCGCTCTTTGCGGGTTTTCATGAGCTGACCTCTCTCATTTATCTTCTTACCGTCGCCTTGTAGTGCTCTTTGCGAGTTTTCACTAACAAGACTCTCTTATTTTCAATTTCTCTGCTTACTATCGCCTTACGGTGTCCGTGTGAGTTTTCACCAATAAGGCTCCCTCATTTTATTTCTCTCATTTTGATTGCATCAGATCCAAGTAGCTATATTCTCTGATCTTTGAACATTCTCACCGACTGATCAGAAGGACTTGAACGGATTTGGGTAAAAATGATTTGGACTGAATTACAACTTTGGAACCATTCGGGCGGGATCATCGCCGAACCATTATCACATCTGCCCCAATTTTACTTTTGGGGGAATTTGAATTTTTATTTTAGTGTGACTGAACCCCAGAGGGAGGCTGCCTATGTGTCCTTTAGGAATCAAGTCGAACGTAGTTCAGGGAAACTTTTGTTTTTATTTTGCTTTTTGTTTTATTTTGTTTTCTCTTTCTTTTTCCTCTCTTTGTTTTTTCATTTTTTTTAATTTCATTTTCTTTGTCTTTTCTTCCCCCCTTTTTGTATCTTTTTTTTCTCCTTTTTCATTTTTTTAATTCATTTCATTTTTTTCAATTTTTATTTTTTTCAATAATACTTTCAGGTTCCAAAGAAGGTAATGAAAGAAAAGTAACCGGCTCAAAGAGTTTGCAAAAGGTTGATAGTGTTTGGGTAGAAAGAATAAAAGATTTCTTCATCCCAACCGGAGAACATTTATGTTATATAGAGGATCCAACATGGTACCTTTTGACAACACTTGTATTGACAGTTGTTTCAGGGACACTTCCTTCGATGTGTCCCAAGTACAACACACTCTTTTGACAGTACTCTTATTGCAATGTATGGACCTTTCCAATCTGGAACCAATTTTTCTTTAGCTATTCCGAGTCTTTGCTTTTTCCTTAAACTTATCTTCATTTCATTTTGATTCTTGACTCATAATTTCGAAGTCTGACAATGTTTCAGGATCTGGGCATGAAGTCCGCAAGCATGTCATGTTATTGAAATTTGCATTTAAAAGAACTGAAAAGAGAATAAGAAAAGTGACAAGATAAAGAAAAGAGAATTCGTGGACAATGAACAATTGTTTTTTTTATATTTTTTATTTGGAATTTTCGAAAGAAATGCTTTAAAAGAAGAATTGACATATTTTCTTTTTTTCGATTTTTGATTTTGATTTTATCTTTATTTTTGAAAGAAAGACTTCTAAATATTCCTTTTTTTATTTATTTGAACTTTGAGAATTTCAAAAGTAAAAGGAAGATATTTTTATTTAAATTTTCATTTGTTTTTTCTTTTTCTAAAGAAGAAAGAATTATATTTTTTGGATTTTGGATGTTGCCTCTTAATTTTCGAAAGAGGGACTTTTAAGAAAAATATTTTGGATTTCTGATTTATTTTTGTTTTTAAATTTATAAAAGTACTTCTAAAGAAAAAAGAAAGTATTTTTGAACTTCAATTTTTTTTTTAAATTTTTTTCTGAAAGAAAGACTTTTAAACAAGAAAAAGAATATATTTTTTTGGATTTGTTTTTTAAATTTTTGGTAAAAAAACTTCAAAATAAAGGAAACCCGTATTTTGGATTTTGATTTTATTTTTTTTATTTCTTTTTTTTTCTGTATGAAAGACTCTAGAAAGAAGTAAACTATTTTTTGAGTTTAAACAAATTTTTTTTTGAATTTTCTAGGGAAAGATTTCTAAAGAAGGAA